CCGCACGAGCATAAAGTGATGAATTATGTAGATGGAATCCAAGGTATAAAAAGACAATAATGTACTGGTATGACATAAAATATAAAATATAAAGTATATAGAAATATGTTATAATGTAAAGTTTTTAACAGAATTTTTTAGATAGTTTCGTTCGTTTATATTCCACCATACTATCAAGTGGATTTTTCGAAATTTTCAAAATTTCGAATTGTATCACACAAACTAACCCAAACGGGTCGTTTCTTGGTTTTGTTTTTTAGGACTTCAAAGAGATGGAGCCGTTGGAATCTCCTGGAAACCTGTTTCTCTGAGTTGGTGTGCTTTCGCTTATATTGCAATGATGAGAGGACACCACCCTCAAACGTCTCGGTAAACAGAATCCCTGAACTCAGGACGAATCTATGGAGGACGTACCACCGAAAGGAAGAGCCGAACAGGATTCTCATGGTTTTTGGAGTTGACGAGGCTTCGTCTGAGGTATTGCGACGACAAAATTACAAGGCGTGACGAGAACAAAGGCTCCAGGTGCGCCCTGTAAAAGTGATGGCTTTAGCCGAGGAGGGTAGTAGCAATACTCCATCCTCGGAAAGAACGTTACCACCCAATCCAGCCCTGGAAGATGAGCCAGTCGATGGCTCTGAAAAGCTGGAAAAAGAGGGGATGTAGATGATATTCCACCGAGGACACAGACTGGACAATCCACAATCTAGACATAGGTCCAATCATTATCCTATACCATAGATAAAGAGACCTTATTTCTTCAAAGCAACTTGCAGCATAGCAAAGGGGCGACCCCATTAATCTCATTGCTATGGGGCAGGAGCAGACATATACAGGGTGTTTCACGAAAATCAAAACAGAGGCGTTTTAGGGTATTTCAAGGTCGTTTTAAAAAAAACGCTCGGATACGTCATTTTTGTATTCAAGGGGAAAACTTTTTGACTCCATCGGTATTTTACTAGGGTTCACACTTTTTTAGATATGGAAAATGGGTCTAGTGGTACCTTGTTATGAAGGTATTTTGATCCTCTTCACAAGTGCGTATTTTTTTTTTTTGAAAATCGAATGATTAGTTCTCAAGATATTCACTGTCAAAAGTTGCCATTTTTTTTTTTCTCCTTGAATAAAAAAATGACGCGTGCAAGCGATTTTTCTAAATCGACCTTGAAATATCCTAAAACGACTCTGTTTCGATGTTCGTGAAACACCCTGTATGTATGTACCTCCTACAAGAAATTTGGGCATACAAGGGTCGCGTAAGAGGATTAGGCAGATTGGAAAGATCTCATTTCTATGAAAGGGACTTCCAACTGAACCCAAGGACTTGCATCTACGTCGACAAACGGATCGAGTCTACTCTAATAGCTATAACGCTCTAGAGACCTAGTAGCGGTAAAGCTATGCCTCAAGGACAGACTGGGACAGAGCAGATCGATAGTAGTTTGCTCAGCCTATCTGCCCCATGACTCAACAGATGATCCCCCAACACGGAAGTTCATCGATTTGGTGGAGTACTGTAACTCACTGGGCCTTCCGTTGATTACCGGATGCGATGCCAACGCCCACCACATGATGTGGGGCAGCACCGACACGAACCGGAGAGGGCTCAGTCTTCACATCACGGATTTAGAAATCCTGAACCGCGGCATCGTACCGCCCTTTGTCACTTCGTGTATACAAGAGGTGATAGACTTGACATTGGACTCACTCTCCTCTCCATGACCACGATGATAAGCAAGTGGACAGTGTCTGACGAACCGTCCTTGTCGGATCACAGACACATCCTATTCAGCTTGGATCTTGATCACAAGGCTGGGCCCAGTAAGTTCAGGAACCCCTGGAACACGAACTGGGATCAATACGTTGAGATCCTAAAGGCTAAACTAGAAGAGTTTTCCACGCCATGCCGCAGCGCAAGGCAAGTGGAGGAAACAACCGAATTTATACGCAACCCAATCACCAATGCGTATAAATGAAGCTGTCAGCTTTGAGGAAAGAAGAAAACGCCTTGGCGGGACGCCGACCTCGACAAGGCTTGTAAAGAAACCCGCAGGCTCTTCAACAGGGCCATACGGTCTAAATCACTAGCTGACTGGAACAGCCACAAGCAGTCTTAGCGCAGATACAAAGATCTTATAAGAAGGTCCAAAAGAGAATCATGGAGGACGTTCTGCGGTAACGTTGACGAACTTCCGGCAACCGCCAAGCTCCAAAAGATTTTCTCAAAAGACCCAGGACGAGAGCTGGGGTCACTAAGGCTTCCCTCCGGTAGTTGTAGCGCTACCGCAGAGGAGGCACTTGGTTGGCTCCTGGAAACACACTTTCCGTTCTCTGAAATCCTGCAAACTGGTAAATCAACAATGCACGCTTCACAAGCTGTCGCAAGGCCAGCTGACTGGAAGATAGCTGCGAGAGTGGTATAGTGTTTTAACAGCCCGGAAAAAAAACGTTTTTTTTTCCGAAAAAAACCCGGTTATCGAGATCGATAAAAGCTTTAGGAGCTATTCGGAACATCACAGCTAGCAGATACATAAAAATAAGGACTAAACTTCCTGTAGAGAGATAGAAGATCTCCAGAAAAAACATGACACCTTCAATCTCCATTAAAAACTCCAACACGCCGCCAGAATCAGGAAAGCAAAACATGTCCATCTAATCAAAGACTCGGACGGGAAATTCATCGATCCAGACACAACAATCCAGAAAATGGAAAGGGTACGTCACTGACCTCTTTGACGATGCCAACCGAGGAAACGTGACCTTTTCTGAGACAACGAGATAGGCAGAGGCCCCAGTATACTCAAGACAGAGCCTCTTGAAGACGTAAGGAAAGCGATACCTACAATAAGGAATAAATAAAAAGGAGCCCGGACCAGACCAAATTCCTAGAGAACTGCTTAAACTTCTGGACCAGGAGAGTAGGCATTACTTGCTTAACCACACTTTTTATTGAACTATGTAAGGAAGGAAAAATACCCGACGATTGGCTAGACTTGCTTTGCATAACATTACCTAAGAATAGTAGACCCAATGACATCTTTAGTAGACCCACTAAAAGCAACGATTTTAGACTTCACACAGATATTTTTGCGAATAATACAAAATCGAATATTCCGTATAGGCGAAACTAAAACAAGTGACAAAAAATTAAGAATTTGAGGGGGCCTTGAGACCAGAAAGGCTTTATTTTGTATGCGAGTTCTGCTCCAAAAAAGCTGTGAACTCCGAAATAACGTCTGCTTCATCAACTTCGAAAAGGCATTCGACCAAGTACAGCACGACCCACTTTTCAATTACATGGACGCAGCCTGATTAGATAACTAAGAGATTAGGTTGGAACACTTAAGTACGTATACTAGAACCAGGTAGCCTCCGTCCAAATTGAAGACAGTCGCACTCAAAATCAGCCCATCAAATGTGGAGTACCACAGGCTGTGTTCTGTCGCCAAAAACCAAACTGCTATAATTTTCAAATTGTATAATTGTATAAAATTATTCTTTGTTGAAATTTGAGTGGTTTCATTTGCAAATAAAGGAGCTACACGTTCTTTATTTATTTCGGAATTCCACGACCCTATAGGTTCTCTTGCTCTAAATTACAAATGAGTAGTTAATTTGTAACAAATTGGCGCCTACAACGTGTTTTAAAAGTATATTTTGTGCAAAGTGAAGCTCTTAAATATCCTTTCTGACAGTTTCTGACTTTCTGCTTTATCTTGGTATTTCTGGTGACTTCTGCAATTTTTTTTTTATTTTAATTTTTATTTCTTACCTAATTATTATTCTATAACTTTTTAAATTTTGTCTAATTACCTTATTTTTTATCTTTGACTATGTTTTATCATATTTTATCTATATACATATCTATTTTGAATTTTTCTCTTTGAAAATGTTTTTAATTGCTTGTTTGTGCCTGTTTTCTATGCAGTCTGGCTAAAGTATCATCTGTTGAGGCGGATTGTCTGGAACCGAATGCATGAAATCTTTTTGTTGTTAATGTTTAATGGTATTGTTCATTTGAAGCTACTAGTTGAAGTATCATCTGTTGCGGCGAATGGTATGGAACCTGTTTGTAGTTCTCTAATGTTCAGTAGTATTGTCCATTCCCACCCACTATTTTGTTTTTACAATTGAAATCTTTATTATAGGTAGCGAATAGTACTTGCGCTGCTGCCTTGGCGAGCTCTTGATTTACCCTATTTTCTGCTCCAAGGGAAATCTTGTCCTTACCTGAAATTCCATTTAAATGCCCAATTTTCATCCCTATTCGAAAAGTAAAGTATTCTGGCTTCTATAGCGATTTCAATAACTCAAACTCAGTGTCATAACATATCTTCTCTGTCTTTATCTTTTGTTTTAATATTATACATCATGATTTATCTTTGTATGTCGATTAGGACCTTTTGTTGTGTGTCATGCATATGGTTGCTTGACCATAATAATATTATTTTTTATCTCTGTCTAATCGATGTATCTTTTTCATTGATGTATATGACCTCAAAAGTCATTTTAGAGTCTTAATTGATTCGAATTCTTAATTCATACCATGTCACTGTCATTTAGTCATCTCTCAACTTTACCATCCCACCCATGACTCACCTTATCCTCACTTCCCTTATCTTCTATTTTTCATCTTTCATTAAGGGAGAGTGGGGAAATTCTGCGCACATAAGCAAGATGGGCTTCTATGAGTAGAGTATCGCACTTAGAATAATGAAATTCATAAATAATGGACTTCAATTACTGTACTATCATTATGTAAAAGCATATTTGTTGGAATATTGGTACAGCCAGGTAGCACTGCAAAATGTACCAAAAATACAAAGCGCACAATTGTCCACCCCATGGGGTAATTGTACGCAACTGGTGGAGAATTGTGCGCATGAGTGAGGAATTGTGCGCATGAGTGGGGGATTGGATAATTGGAGTTGTAATGTATTTTGGTATCATCATATCGGAAAATATTAGGTAAATAAATTAAAAATACAATTAATTCTCAACTATTTAATTTTTTCAGGACTACAAAAATCACAAAGGTATCCTTCAGCTTGGTCAGCGCCACTGCATGCTGCATGATTCCAAGTTGAACAGCGAATGCACCGATACCATAGTTCTCCATCGCGACCAAATTTATTGCAAATGCCGCATAACTCTTCAGTCTGTTCAGATCCCATCGCATTGGCAAAATGTTCGTAAAGGTCTACATCATCTAACTCATCGTCGTCACAAAGATCGTTGCTGGATTCTGATTCATTACTTGAGCTTGATTCGGATAGCTTTCTTCTTTTTATTGTCAATTTCTTGATTTTCTTCTCATCCTTTTTGACTTTCTTCTCCGAAATGTAAAAATTTCTTTTAACAGATTTAGCTTTTTTGTCTGCTGCATTTCGTCGTTTTTTTTCAGCTTCTTCTAGTTGTTCTTTCATAGGTGTGGATGTTAGGATTTTAGAGCTTAATTTGTCGCGCGATTTTCTTTTTGCAGCTTCTGGTTTTACTGTTTTTTTTTTAATTGGGGCAAAGCTAAAGAAAGAATTCTGTTCCATTGAAACCACTTAATTTTCAGGGTCTTGGCGGGATGTCGAAGGTTGGGGTTCAGGTTGTGATTCTGTAAGTTTTTCAGGTGTTAAATGCTGAGGTTCTTTGCATGAAGTAGATGATGGTCGATGAGCAAGATCAACGGTGGCTGCAAAATCATCCTCTGTGAATTTATCGGGATTCAAAGGATATATTCCAGAAGTCCTAAACCCAGATATAGCCTTTTCCATGATAGCCACTTTCAAAAATGCCCTATTTAAAAGCTCAGCTACATCGTATTCAGTGATTCTTTCATGTGCTGTGTTGGTAAGATGAAGATCATATTCCATATAGAGTTTAGTTTTGAGTGGACCAAAGAAAGTTAGGTCGAGAGGCTGGAGATGATCGGAAGTGTGCGGTGGAAGGGATACCATATGAATAAAATTGCTTCTACAAAAATTGTAGGCTTGCAAAGAAATGTGGGTAGAATGGTTATCTAAAACCAGAAGAATTGGATCTGCTTCAGTTGGTTTAAAAGTTTTTTTGAAATGTCCCAACAATTCAACGAATAAATCTGAATTTATCCATCCATTGTTTGAGCACGCATAAACGGCTCCAATTGGTCCATTGTTTTGCAATGCTGGGGCCATTCGTTTTCGTGGATAAATTAGCATTGGTGGGCAATAATTACCTGCAGCACTAACGGAAAATACAGCCTCCACTTTTTCAGGGCCTTTAGTCCATAAAGTTTTGGGCACTTTTTTTGGACTACGGTAATCCCGATCTCATCCATGTTAAAAATCCTGTTTGCGGGAAAGTTATATTTGTCCATTAGGGACTTGAGATTTGTGAAAAATATTTTCGTCGATTCAGAGTTGAAGGAAGCAATTCTATTTATGCTGGTACCTTCCGGCTGTCGAAGTTTTATTTCAGGGTTTCGTTTCAAAAAGCCGTATAACCCGTCTTTACCGGCGGCTTGTTTTTGAAAGGAAAAACCATGCTCGATTCCATGCTCGTCAGCATATTTAAATGCTAGGCGTCTAAGTTCCATGGGTGTCAAACGATAAAACACCTTAGCAAGATTCAGTACATACTCAATTTCGGTCGAAAATACTGCCTTACGACCAAGCCTCATTGCTACAGGGGCTTCTGCCTTTCTTTGTTTTATTATCGTTGATTCTGGTATTTCAAATGCACGAGTAACTTCTCTTATTTTTCTCCCCTTTTCTATTTCCTTCAAGGCAATTTTCATTTTTTCCGGGTCCCAAAAACTTTTTTGTGTCTTGCGCTGGTATTTGCGAGGCATCTTTCTGTAAGAATGTGAAAAAAAGCATTAATTTGGGTATAGGGCATGTCCATGTGATGTCACTAATGAGTTTTGACAGTCGCCCTGAGGTAAAACACATCATTTATTTACATTGGTGTAGATTAGGCCGGTTATGTTTTATGCGGTTTTCACAGCTTTTTTACGAGTTTTTGTGTTATTTTGTTTTAAAAAAGTTAAAGTAAAGTGTTTATGTTCCAGTCAATGTAGTCTTTATCCAGAAGTTTGCTAGGTTTTTCTATAATGGAATAAATTCAGACTTTTTTCAAAAAATATCAAAACCAAGTGTCACAAGAACAAATATATAAGTTTAATTACTCTATATTCGATCTATTTTTCTGTCAGATCTTCTCTTTTAACAACATTAATCAATTTTTCTCTTCTTTCTTAAGCTAACAAATCAAACCTCTCATTGTTATTTAAAATTGATGGAAACCTATGGAATCCCTTGCGCTGTACTGCCACAATTAACAACTAAACAAACTCTAGGCATGCCCAAGAAACTTCTGGATCACACAAAAGGTATTTATTTGAAAAAATCTAACTAAAAACTTAAAAAACACTGTAAATTATATCTTTGTTTTACTTCAAGGCGACTGTCAATAGTGTCAAACTGTCAGATCGTGTACTTGCCCTATTGAGTCCTATTCGTATTTAACTCTTTGGTGGATAATTGTACGCAGATGGTGGGTAATTGTGCGCAAGGTGCGCACAATTTCCCAACTCAGTCCTCAACCAAAAATTTAGTCGTAAAAAAAAAACAATTTGGTTTACAATACATTATACTACACCAAAAGTTGTGGAAAAATATACTAAATATGACCATGCATGCCGAATTCTTTTTAGAAGTCAATAGCTACTTACCAACCTTATTTTATGATAAGCCAAAATTATAACCAAACAGCTATTTTCGATCATGTGCACTTTGTTTCCCAAATAACTTAACCAAAGCCTGTCATCATCCTACCTTGTTTATTATACCATCCGCTAGATGGTAGCAGCTATCAGGCACCTTATTCATGCCCAATAAACCGAAAACGCTATACGCACAATTGCCCGCTGCGCACAATTCCTCCACTCTCCCTTACCTAGTTTTTTGGTCTTATTGCAATGTCTAAAATTATAACGATTTAATCATCATAGTAGGAGAGCCGGCAATATTAACGGGTATGTGATCGTTGCAATGGATAATTTTCACATAAAAGAATTAATAGCTCATAATTACCTTTAAATTAAATGGATGGGTTGCCTTGATTCTCATGGCCGCAACCCTTTGGTGGCTGAGCGTAACTACCCCTATTTTTTCGAAGGAACAATGTTATCGTTGCAATAGCTGAAAATTGGTAGATATATTCTTTAATATGTATTCTGAAATAATATATAGGGTTGCCTCGATTTTGATGGCCGGAAATGATGACAACTCTCATTGAAAGGGGAGCGCGCACGTTATTTTGCTTGCTGAATGCAAATTTTTGAAAGTGACATCTTTCAAAATCACTTTTAAAGTTAAAAGAGGATTCTGTGAAGAGGATTTTGCATACGGCTGTAGGTCTTTAGACAAGAAAAGAAACATGAAATTGTGTTAATAAAATGTTTGTCGCATATGATGAGAACTCCCGACACCGCAAGGTACTTCTTTTTTTTGCGCTTATGGTTTTGTTTTATTTATAAAAGTATCTTTTTATAAAACAACTTTACGGCCATGGGAATCAAGTCAACCCATCCATTTAGTTTAAAGGCTACTATGAACTATTGTTTCATGTAGAAATTATCCATTGCAACGATCACATACCCTTTAGTATTGTCGGCTCTTGGACTATCAGTCACATTCACTTTTCTTACCTTTTAATTTCAATTGTTTTAAAAACTTTTTCTGTTTTTGTTATGTAGTTGCACGAACAGTGCTGTTTTGCTATTGCTGCTGTCGCCTGATATGGAGAGTGGTTGAGGGCTAGATTGCCTTTCTTCAGTAAAGGCTTTACCTTTTCTGGAGAAAAACCCAAAATTTGATTAAATTCGATTATTGATTTGCTGCGCGCCATTGCTTTGGGGTGAAGTTTTCCCTCTTATACGAGCTGCGCCAACTTCTGTTTAAGTGATTTCTCTTGTCCGTTGTGGAAATCAATTGGACAGGCTGCTGCCTACAACCTTATTGGTACAGGCTTGGTAGGGAGGAGTTAGAGTCGGGTGGTTCTTTGAGGAATAACGGTGATTTCAATGAAAAGAGGGGGGGGGGATAATTGCATTCCTAGGCGTGTTCTTCCGCAAACCAATTTCTTTTCTATCCCTTCTTGATTGAACCTTTTTATGGATAACTTATGTATGGCAGCTGATCCCCGTTATATGCAAGGGATGAAACGTATCTCTTACTTCCTCTCGGGAACTCCGCCCAGAACTGAATTGAATTGGTGTTTCAATCTTTTCATTGTATTTCCTATACAGTTTCTCTCTTCTGTGTTATCTGTCCTTACTTTTCCATTAGCTTTAAGAATTATTAGATAAAGAGATTGGCGAGTCTCAAGAAGCATAGCAGAGCAGACACTCAACCAGCAACATTTTACATTTAATTTTTTCTTCTGTCTTATCAGGAGTACTAGTGTGATTCATAGATTCCGATTCAAGATCCATAACATATAATCCGTGATTCAACTGTTCAAATTTGGGTAATTATCTTAATTTTCTTCAAGAATGCGTTGTTTTTTTTTTTGTCCAGACCTTTATAATTTCAATATCTCTCAATACCTTCATAAGTTCAATACCTTTTTATTCTCCTAATTAATTATTTGGCTAATTCACGGGCGCTTTTCGCTCTGTTGGTCCAGGGGGGTGTGCTTTGTGATTGAAACTCAATTCCGAATAATTTCTGAAGTTTATCTTCATACTATTTTATTTACAAGAAAATATATCTTGAATTTTTTCTCTCAATTTTCTATAAATTTCTCCTTAAAATTTAGAAAAGTATTTGTCTTATTATTTTTTTAATTGAACCGTTGAATCACAATTTAATAATAATAATAATAATAATAATAATAATAAACAGCCTTTATTCAAGAAAAGAAAAAAATCTTAACCTAATAACTATTTTAAATGTTTTCCTGACTACCTTGTGCTCTGATGATTTTTTTTCTTTTTGAATTTTTTTGTATACCAAAAGCCCTAGAGAGCTATATTTCTAAAGTAGGTAATACTATGCTGTAGTACGCAGTTACTACCTACACATAGATTACTGTATCAATATCAAAATATGTTGTATCTTAGGGTACTTTTTGCAGAATTTTCTCTGCAGATTTTGTCCCTAGCTTTGTTTTTTTTTTTTTAAGTAGAGCTCTTTTTTTTTGTACAGGGTGACCCAAATTCGAGCCTCATCATCGGGATCTCAGTAACCGTAAGAGATATGGGGTCGGTTAAATTATGGCAAAGTTGCGCAATTTTATGACCAATAGAATGTCGTTTTGAAACTAGAAAGATTCCGAATACTTCCGGAGATATTCGGAAAAAACCGAAATTTTGTAAAATCGTTTTTATTTTTTCCCGGGCTTATTTGAAAAGCAATTTCAGAATAAATGTCACTTCATCATTGTCACTTTTTCCCCTTTAGAAGATGGTGCTACTAAATTTAAAATACGACGTTTCATCTTCAGGCGGCCATCCTCAACTTCCTTTTTTTAAATACGGACCTGGATTTTTTATTTGCGATTTTGTCAT